TCTCTCTCTCTCTCTCTCTCTCTCTCTCTCTCTCTCTCTCTCTCTCTCTCTCTCTCTCTCTCTCTCTTGACAGAAAAAGGCCTCAGCCTGTCACAGTTTCTGCGTCGTGACACACAAAATCGACTTTCAGCAGCGACTGCGGGATGAACAGTGGAAGGTGGGGGAGGAGTGAAGAGGAGGGTATCCTCCTCCCCTCCCACCGTGACACATAAAGTCGCTGCTCCACGATGTACCCGATACTAATTATGTTTTTGAATTCTCAGTTGAAGGAGATGAGAGCGAAAAAAAAAACACTAAGTTGGGACACTAGAAATTTTGCGGCGCCTGACTTGGGCTGCTGACCTGCAGCAGGCCAAAGCCTTTCTGCAACCCCTCCTTGACCATCGGGTGGGCGTGGGGTAGAGCTGGGCAGGGTACTTGTAGTTTAAACCACCAGTACACCTGGGCCTGCAGGCCCCTTGCACCAAGCTTGTCCGAACCGCCAGCAGTGCACTTTCTTTTCTTTTTTGGGGTGGTGCCGCCCGCCATTGTGGTCTGGTAGCCCGAGCCTCCGAAATTTTCCTAGGCTACGAGTTTCTTTTTCAGCAAGGCTGGGGCCATGTACATTGTACTGGCGGCGTAAACCGCTGGCACACGGTCCCAGCCTTGCAGAAAGTTTTTGTTGCCACAAGCAAAACTCGGAGGCGCCGCGCGGCCAGGCCCGCCGTTGGAAAAAAAAAATTCAGCGGCCTCCGAAGTGGTGCGGATTTCATGCTGACACCCGCGGGCCGATATGTGGTGTACTGGCGGTTTAAGGGGAGCAATCAGGACTCTAACCTGAGTGTACCTGTGCCTTCGGCAGAGGCGCAGGCCCAGACAGACCACAGGCAGCCCTGTCTGACTCTACCCATAGAGCATCTGAGCAGAGAGGCAGAAGGATAGTCGCAGGTTTTGAAGCCGTACACCATGGACTGGAATCACAGTCTGCGAAAGTAAAGCCTTGCGTTTTTTTTCAGTTTGTATTTGCAGTGTGAACTCATCTACCCATAGATCGCAAAATCACATAATGATCGGCCAGCAGAGGGCTAAGAGGATACTCACACTAGGCCCTCAAAATCGCAAAATCCCAAAATGTGCGGCCAGATCTAGTCCTTCCTTTACAAGGACTTGATCTAGCCGCTCATTTTGTGATTTTGTGAGTTTGACGGCCTAGTGTGAGTATGCTCTAAGTCAGGGAGGGAGGATGCAATTGAGCCTTTCCTGGTAATTTGGTCTTGGTAGAAAAAGAATGATTATGAAGAAAAAGGGGAAGCTTATTTTTTTAAAGGGGAGTTGCCACAAGAAAGGGGGAAATGGACGGGAAAAAAAAGAAAAGAAAGTTTAAGGAACAGGATTGTTGTGTACAATGCAACAAGCTATGGTGGAGCCCTTTATTGGAGAGAAGATTAGCATGGGCTGTGTGATAGGATGCCGTGTATTTATTAATTAAAAAAAAAAAAAAAAAGCTGGGGACAATCACATCATCTCCAAACGTCACTTCCCCCTCACCTGCATTCGATCAAACCGGCCAATATGTGATGACATCACCATATCCCATGCTCCTACTTCTGCAGTATATCGTTCACATGAAAAAGACAAAAAGGGTGTTTTAGGAAGCAGACGGGGACCACAACCACCAAAAAAGGTTGGGATCTCCCATGACCTCACTGCACGGAACCCCAGCCACACGTTTTTATGTCCGCCTACCTGCCTCTCTCTCTCTCTCTCTCTCTCTCTCTCTCTCTCTCTCTCTCTCACACACACACACACACACACACACACACACACACACACACACACACACACACACAATCTTATGTAAGTTCTTTCCTCTTTTTATTCTTTCTCTGTGTCCAAGTGAAAGCCTTCAAGTTGTGCCAAATAATCGCTGCTTGTTTGTTTGGAGAGCCGCCTGTAACACTCCTTGCGGGGCTGCTTTGTTTGGATGCCATGTCAGAGTGTTCTGTGAGTGATCAAAGACCTCTGTCAAAGTGGCCATCAGCAGGAAACCAAAGTTGTAATTCAATTGTCACGACGTTGAATATTTGGAATCGTTGATTACAGGCTTTTACAGCGAGTAGGATCATCAGAGGCTATATGCACAGCAACCATTCGATCTTTCTGGTTGAAGATATAGTCCGATGCCATTAGGAAATTAGTAGTCGAATTGACCCAAGCTTATTTCACCGCAGCAACCATGATTATAGCGGTGCCAACTGGAATCAAGATATTTAGTTGGATTGCCACTATGTGGGGAGGTTCAAATTGTTCAATACAATTAAAAACACCTATGTTATTCGCTGTAGGATTCATCTTCGTTCCTGGCTCCTAGTGTGGTGTGAACCAACAGTCTGCGGTGTTCTACCTGTGGTGTGCGTAGGTGATGGGCCGATTCGGTCCAAGTTGGTTGCGTGGGGTGCTTTGTCTGCGCTGCTCTGCTGCCTGGACGCTCATCTGCTCGCCTTGTCATTTGGCTGCCTTGCTGCCTTTAGCCTCGCTGCCTTTTGCCTCATCGCTGTGTGCCTTGATTGCCATTTCCTCACTGCCTTCATACCTTTCTGCCTTTTGCCTCCCTTCCTTTTGCCTACCGGCCTTGTTGGATAGCTGCCATGCTGCCTCCCTGCTTTGTACGTTGCTGCCATGTTGCCTGACTTCCTTCTTGCCTCTCTGGCTGGTTGGCTGCTGCTCTTCGGGTCTTGTCATTTGGCTGCCTCGTTGCCTCGTTCTGTTGCTTCGTTCTCACCTGTGGCTTGCCTCGTTGTTTGTCTGGCCACTCACCTCTCCTGTGCCCTCCACGCTATGTGCCTTGCTGCTGCTTGTCGTCCTGCGCCATGTTTGTCCACCCTTGCCTTGCCGCTTGCGCTGCTGTTTGTCCACTTACAACAGGGGTTCAACGACCTTATAACTCAGCATCGATATTGGAATTCCACAGCTTGTCGAGGGTTCAGCCTCCTGATGAGTCCGTCCCAAGTCCGAGTAGGAAAGAAACAGTGTCATTATCTGTGTCCATTCCTTTTCTCCTTTTAAAAGAAGAAGAAGGCCAGCATCCTTCAGATATCATCTTTGAACTGACTGGCCCCAGGTAAATTCAGCGTTACTCAGGTCTGTACTTCGAGTTTCATTCTTTTCTATAGCCCTTTTTTTTTCCCCCTTTCGTTGAATGTTCTCTTTACGGTATTTCCTTGGGCTGGGCGGTCTTCATATGATGCGGCCTTGGGTCTTTCGTTCATGCGCCAATTGCAGACATGTTTCCATTCCTGTGTGACACCACTCAACACGCACATGCACACATGCAGACACTCTCACACATACACATACACACAGAGGAGGGGGGAAAGGGGGGATGAGGAAAGAGTGAGAGTGAGAGGGGAGAGAGACATACAAAGACAGCAAGAGATACTGCGAGAGAGACTGAGAGTCTGTGTGTGTGTGTGTGTGTGTGTGTGTGTGTGTGTGTGTGTGTGTGTGTGTGTGTGTGTGTGTGTGTGTGTGTGAGAGAGAGAGAGAGAGAGAGAGAG